ATTATAAGTACATTAAAAACAACAGCAAGAAAGATAAAACCTCTTGTGTCCTGATCTTGAGGTTCATTTCGCTTAGCATCATCTTATATGTTCATCTATATACAGCTTTTGACCTTTTCTGCTTGTCCTAAACATACACTAGTTATTGCAGATAAGGGAAACCATGGGACCTGTGTTTCTTTAAGCCTGGCTTACTTCACTTAATATAATTTTTTCCAAGTCTTTCCATTTCCTAACAAATGGGACAGTGTCATTCTTTCTGATGGAAGCATAAAATTCATATATATATATGAATGTGATATATGTCCATTCATCTACCGGGTTAGTTCCATATCTTAGCTATGGTAAATAATGCTGCAATAAACATAGTTGTTTTGCTAGCTTTAGTATGGCCTTGTTTGTGATTGTTTGGGTAAATACCCAGAAGTGGGATTGCTGGATCACAGGGGAGCTCTATGTGGAGTCTTTTGAGGAACCTCCATACTGCTTTTCAAAATGGTTGAACAAGTTTACACTCCCACTAACAATGCAGTAAGGTTCCCTTCTGTCCACATCCCCTCCAGGATCTGTTGTTATTAGAGTTCTTGATTATAACCATTCTTACTGGGATGAGGTGGAATCTCAATGTTGTTTTGATTTGCATTTCTTTTATGGCTAGAGAAGTTGAGCATTTCTTCATGTGTCTGTTGACCATCCTTCTTTCCTCTTCAAAGAAGTTTCTCTTTAAGTCTTTATCCTACTTATTTATCTGGCAGTTGTTTCTTTGAGGATTTGTTGCTGGGGGATTTAGTTTTTTGAGTTCTAAGTATATTTTAGATATGAGATCCTTGTCTGTTATATGGCTAGTGAAGATCTTCTCCTAATCCATAGGCTTTCTATTGATCTTGCTTGCTATGTCCTTTCCCATGCAGGAACTCTACAGTTTCATGCAGTCCTATTTGTCCAACCTTTCTTTGATTTGTTGTGTTTCTGGGTCTTTATTAAGAAAATTTTGGCCTGTGCCAAGGAGCCCTAGAGTTTCTCTTATTCCATCCTGTAATGTTTTAGGGTGTCTGTTTTGACTTCGAGGTCTTTGATCCATTTGGAGTTGATTCTGGTGCAAGGTGATATATAAGGATCTATCTTTAGTTTTCTACAGGTGTTTAACCAGTTTTGCCAGCACCACATCTGTGAGACTCTTATATCCACTAAACTACCAAAGAAAACTAGAAGTGGAGCTATGGCTCAAGTGGTAGAGCACTAGCTTTGAGCAAAAAAGCTCAGGGAGAACAGCCAGGCCCTAACTTCAAGCCCCAGAACTGGCACAAAACAAAATAAAACAAAACCCCCAAATCATAGACATCCCAATACAAAAGAATAGATAATTCCTAGCTCATTGGGTGGCTGTTTATATTTACTCTGTGCCTTTGCACAATTAATTTTGAACTCAATATCCTGAGTGCTAGTGTTATAGTCATGTACCACAACAGCCAGTGGTCTTTACTCTTTTAAGTCCACCACAACCAGCTGCCATTGGTCTGCTGTCCTGAGCAAAGGAGTAGAAGTAGCATTGGCTATGGCATTCTACCACAGGATTCCAGTTCTGCCTTCCTCAAGCTGGGTGGGCAATGTGTACTTCAAAACCCGTGTTATATTTGCATAATGACAAATCTGGTCCCCCTCATGGCTAAGTTTCATTGTTTTTTTTCTTCTCATTAAGAGAAAAAGTCACAAAGTGAGAATTAAACACCTCCTCATTGAAAATGAGGAGTTTGGAGTTGTGGGGTGGAAGGAAAAGGGCCAGTGGTGTGTGAGTCACCACAGGGCCACATCAGCAAGGGTAAGGTGGTGGCCTCATCTCCCCTTCTTGAAGACAGCAGAGAGAGATTGAATATACAGAAATTTGGGGCAAAGATTGAATATAAAGAAATTTGGGACTCAGGATTGTAAAGTCTTCCCAAGCAGAGATAATAAATATCCAGTTGCATTGAGCTTTGCCTCTTTTTCAAGCTTTTGCACTAATTTCAAAATTGTTCCCAGTAACCACTGGGAACAATGGTTCCCAGAGCTGTGCTTATGTCATCTGTTACTTCGCTGTGCTGTAGCAGACACTCAGCCAGCACTCATAAATGAATGACTTGGTGAGAGAATGCACGCATGGCACAGGTGACAAGGCTAACCTCAAATGATGAGCCTTCGTGCATATTTGAGGGGATGATGGTCCTGAGGCCTGAAGTCAGGGCCCAAACACTGTTGCTGAGATTTTTTGCTCAAGGCTAGCACTCTATCACTTGAGCCACAGCTCCACTTCCTGGGTTTTTTTGGTGGTTAATTAGAGATAAGAGTCTCACGGACTCCCTGCCTAGGCTGGCTTCAAACTGTGATCCTTACATCTCAGCCTCCTGAAATTACAGGCATGAGGTAGGATTACATGTGTGAGCCACCAACACCCAGACTGAATGTGTTTTTAATAATATCTTGACTCACTACCAAAAAAGTGGGGGGAGGAGATGACCAAAGAAAATAATGGAGCAATCTCCCCCTCCAATAAAAACATCAAATGTGGAATTATCGTATACACCATTACTACATTCACACCTAGAATAACTGAAAGCAGAAACTTGAACTGGTATTTGTACACTCATCTTCATAGCAGCATTATTTCAATAATGAAATGATGGAAATCACCCAAATCCCTATTGATGGGTGAATGGATGAACAAAATGTACATCAAAAAAGAAAGAAATTCTGATAGGTCCTGAACCATGGATAAACCTTGCTTGTGAAATAAGGCAAATATTGCATGAACTGCCTATGTGAAATTCTAGAGTAGCTAAATTCAGAGAGTTGGAAAGTTAAATGGCATATGTAAGCAGCTATCCACCAGTAAAGAACGACTACAGATTTTCAGTTGCAGGTGATGGAAAAGTTGAGGAGATGGATAAGTGGAGATGTTTATATAACAATGCAAACATATTTCACAGGTTAACATTTCTGATTTAGCTGGGAGATCATCAATGCTGTCTATACAGCCTGCAACTAATTCTACAATACAAAAAAGACATTACTGCATGATTAACACAGTGTCACATGCCCTTCCTGGCTGGACAAGATGCTGTTCCTCATGTGGATCGCTATAACACACACTCGCCTCTCAAACTTCCAAGGATGGACATGATAGGAAGATTTTCCTATGAGAAAGGATAACAGGACACTGTTTCTACAACTTCCATCCACTGAGGAGCATTATATATATGAGGAATACTCACTTCTGGCAGATAGGCCTTTTTGGGACTAAAGGCAGTTAGCCTATTTGGTTTTATAGTTCCTAGGTGAGGCAGTGTTTCATACGGAGCCAGAACTCAGCATTGCAGACAGAAGAACCAGTTAGAATTGCAACTCCCCATGTTTGGATATCTTTGCTTTGGTTCAAGTCGTTTGCATGAGTCTCGATTTCCTCACCTACATAAAAAGGAATACCTCAGTGCTTAGCTCTCATAGTGGCACTGGTGCTTAAGTAAGTTGATACATGTTTAAAAACTTCTGACATAATATAGATATTCATTCAATATTGTTTTCATGTAAGAGATTCACAGCAGGTGGTAGTGGAGACAAAGGGAGGATGGCAACACATATCATCACTAGAGTTGAAAAGCATCAGCTCTACAGCCAAAGCCTGGCACTCACCAGACAGCCTTACAGAGGCCTGGGAGTAGGAGAACTAGCAGCAGAAGCCTAAATGGATCTCTCCAAAGAAATCATGCTTCACAAAGAATGCTTTTTCCCATTCCTCTGGTCCTTCACTGATTGATTTCTTACTTTGGGGGCAGTTTGTCATGTATATATGATGATAGATAGATAGATAGATAGATAGATAGATAGATAGATAGATAGATAGATAGATAGATAGATAGATTACATATAAATTACATATGTGTGTATATATGTGTATGTAATGTATACATATATGTATAATATATACTTACATACATATATGATATTATATATAGATCAGTGAAATAGATAAATACAGCTTTTGGTTGTGTTGGTTGTGTTGTAAAACACTTGTTAGGTTTAGTTTCTTACCTGGCTTGCTTTTTACTTTTGCAAAACATTTTTGTTAGGTTTTCTTCCTCACACCATATGTGGTTTGGGCTTATATAAACTTTGTGCTAGCTGAACATGGGGCTGCAAACTTTTGAGGATCAGAGTCTGCTTGCTGACTCTAGCATTTTAATGAAGACTACCAAAATTTGATCTCTTAAAATGTGGCTTCTCTGTATCTCGTTGATCAAATTCCTGTATAACATTTGGCAATGTCAAATTATCAGAACTCCTTTCAAGGAGAATCCCAGGTGGAAACACTGCAGAACATCACAGGAAGCAAGTTCTCTCCATCAGCACAATGGCCTGGAGAAACTCTGATGCCTGCACTGTTATGCTTCCTTTATGAATTCAGCCAACCAGACGCTCATGTTGATGTTGTCACTTGAACTCACTAGCCTAACTTCCTCCATTTTAATCACTCAGGTGCATCTTCCCAAAACCTGGAGAAATTTATAGAAAGGTAAGGGGAAGATGGATCTAAAAAAATATTTTTCAATTTGATTACTCATTTTGAAAAAGAAACAATTGTTTCTACTGAGCTCATTTGTTCACTATCATAAAATACTGTGATAGCATTTGTTGGTCCAATAAGCTTAGGAGGTGATTCATGTGTGTATATATCTATAGAAGCTAGGGAAATGAATTCTAATTCTAATTGCATAGGAATCAGATAAAATTTATGTTTGAAAGGTATAATTAAAAAGTCCTAAGTATTGTGCCATATAGCTAAAAGAATATGTTTGTGCCCAGTTGGGATTAAAATTCTGCAGTGTCCTACCTTTCTGAAGGTGACGACAGGTCCATAGTTGTGAGGATATCCTAGGAATCTGAAATGAGTAATCCAGGTAATTCACCTGTGCTGCTGATAACAAAGGCCTTGATAGATGCTAGGAAGATCACCATATGCATCTCAATTTGCTCTTCAATTCTGAGCATCGATGGCACACTTCCCCAATGAAGAACTGAGTTCCGTATTATAGAAAAGAAGAGAAATGGAATGGGGATTAACTATACTCAATGAAAGAAAAGTTTTCTAGGAGGGTGGTTGTACAAAGGTATTTTCTCTGAGTCCAGACTGTGTCCCTGATTAAAAGCTAGGTTCACAGTACCTGACCCTCAGAACTCACCTGTGGCTTCTCAGCTTGTCTAGGAACCAAGTGTTGGACCATCCAGCCATTGTCATATACGCCATGATTGGAAATGATGTCTGCAATGGGTGAGTCACTGAGGAAAGATTTCCAAAATTGTTTAAATTTATTTTTATTGTCTTTGAATAATTATGTAAAGGGAGCTCAATTCAATGTGTCGATGCATGTTGATCAGTGTCACGCCTTCCCATATTCTTCCCCTATCTCTTCCAACCCCACCCATCCCCTCAAGTTGGCTAGATTTTCCTCCTTCTTCCTTACCTTCTCCTATAGCAACTCAACTCCATTATAGTGATCTGAGAGTGAATGAACTTTTCTATGTTAAAAGTAAGACCTATACATGTGAGATCCACAAATAGGGCCTACAAAGCTAAGAGCTGCTTTTGTGTCTGAACCATGCATCTGACATACACAACAGATGGACATCATGCATGAAAGATGCTACTCAGATCTACACTTCAGAGCCCATGAGTTTCTTAAATAAAATGAATAAGGCAGAGCCACCTCTGTCTCTCAAGAGCCCGTGCTCACTCATTCTGGTAACATCCTTTTGTGGAAGGTACAGCACAGAGCCCACAGCCTTTGTGAAGAAACTACACGTAGTTCACAGCCAAGACTATTTATGCTCATGACCCAAGTTGAAAAAGAAAGAAAGAAAAAGGAGCTTTGTTAAACTGCTAACAATAGCAGTGGTTTTGAATTTTGATTGACTTAGTTTCCCCTTGACCTGTCTATGCCCCCTAAGGAATATGCTATATGTATGAGTCCCACCTAGCTTGTGCTTGTGGCTAAAATAAATGAATAAAAGTAAAACCGGATATAGATTGACTCTGTAGTTGCCACCTACTCACTATTTAAAAGAAGTTAAAAAAAGAACAGGGAAAGTTAAGCCAAGAGAGGTTGCATGACCTGCTCAAGGTATTCGTGAATAAATAGCAGCACTGAACTCCATCCCCTGCTCACAGCCCACCTAATATGCCCCAGTTCATTCACCAAGCCTCCCAGGCTTGTTGTAAGACCAAAGTTCAGTGTTATTATAACATGGCTGTTTTCAGATGCCTGCATTTAACTCTGATGATGAAAGATGTAGAGACAGAATCAAGAAGGAAGCTCAGGGCAGGACATTCTGCCCAATGATCCAGAAGTGCTCAGGAACCATGCCTTACCCTTGTCCTACCAGGCTGGTTTTCTCCTCTCCCTAGAACCTCAAACTGGCCAAGGCTACACACTGAGGACCTAGACCATCACAAATATCCCCTAATGCCTGTCATAATGAGCTCAGAGCTGTGCCATGCTATCATTCCACCCTTGCAGCAGTCCTAAGAAGCAAGTGTGATTGTTTCCACTTACAGATGGAGAAACTGAGGCTCACAAAGTGAAAGAACTGACCTCTTGCTGCTGCTGAATGGCAAAGCTGAGAGCCAACACGGGTTCTCTGGCTCAGACCCATGCTCTTTCAGCCTCACACTGGCCTTCTTTGCCTTCTTGCACTCACTCACCTTTGTACAATCTGTGGGGAGCACTCATGGTGTGTAGTAGCACTGGGACTCAATGACACAGAGGCCCACAGAGGTCTCTCTCTTGAGAGACATCTCCAAGGAGCCTACAAAGGATAAGGATGCATCACAATGAAAACAAATGAATGGTCAGACCAGCCAGTGTCCCTCCATTCCCAAAATCAGGTCCCCCAGGGGGAACAGAGAGCAGGCAGAGAGAAAATGGATGATTGACAAAAGAATGATGGCGAAAAAGAGGCCTAGCATCTCAAAGCTCGAACCCCTGAAGCTGGACTTTTCCAGAACAACCTGCTTACCCCCAGAGATACCTCCAACCTCACTCCTGCTTTCTCATTTCCAAAGAGCCAGAGAACAGAGCAGGCAGACACCAGCCAGAGACCAGTGCCAGCCTCCCCTGCCAGAAAACCAGGCAGAGAAGCAGCGAGCATGTGGGTGAGAGAGCAGAGCTGGCAGGGCAGGGTGCTCCTGCAGTGCCCACTTTGCCATGTCCTATGGAGGGGTTAGAAAAATAAAGACAGATGGCAGCTATTCCTGTCCATCTGCCAGAATGTCAAGGTGGAACAGACATCCCCAGATGAGCAAAAGATGTCATACAAAGCCCAAGCTGGCCAGAACAGGATTGTCCCATGACTTTTTTCTTTTCTTTTTTATCTTGAGTCTGATGCTGCTAGTTCTGACCGGGGCAGCTAGGCTCCTCTTTCTCGGTTCCCTAAACTCATGTAATTACTCAGTACACACCTGATAAATGGATGCCATCAGGATTGGAAGAAAGCTTTTAGCATCAAGAATTTAGGAGGGCTGGGAAGGTGGTTCAGTGGTAGAACCTTGCATGCACGAGGCCCTGGGTTCGATTCCTCAGTACCAGGTAAGCAGAAAAAAAAAGCCAGAAGTGGCACTGTGGCTCAAGTAGTAGGGTGCTAGCCTCGAGCTGAAGAGCTGAGGGACAGTGCCCAGAGTTCAGGCCCCAACCAAAAAACAAAAAAAAGAATTTAGGAAGGAAAGCAATGCAGGGGTAACTAGCTTTGTCATGTGTCCTATTCAAGTTTACCTAAGCTTTACCTAATCCCAGATTCCCTGGGTTTTTTCCTGTCCCTGCCCTTGCAAGCTATTTCATGAAGTAATACAGAAGAAGGGGAGTCCAGGGGAACAACAAATGTAGATGAGCTAGAGCAGGAGAACCTTTGGGGTGTGGGGGCTATGCTGCCTTAGAGCATGAAATCATAAAGTCCGACAGCCCATCTCTGACACCTCAACATGATGTCCGTAAAAGAACTTTGTGCTGGGTGTCAGTGGTTCATGCTTGCAATGCTAGCTACTCAGGAGGCTGAGAATTGAGGATCATAGTTTGAAGTCAGCCCAGACAAGAAAGTCCATGAGACTCTTATCTCTCCAATTAACCACCAAAAAAAATCCAAAAGTGGAGCTGTGGCTCAAGTAGTAGAACATTAGTCTTGAGCACAAATGCTCAGGGACAGTGCTCTGTTCCTGAGTTCAAGCCCCAGGATGGGCTTCAAGAAAGAAGGAAGGAAGGAAAGAAGGAAGGAAAGAAGGAAGGAAGGAAGGAAGGAAGGAAGGAAGGAAGGAAATAGAGAAGGGAAAAGAGAAAGAGAGGGATGGAGGGAGGAAGAATTTTGTAATGGCTGGAATTGTGACAGATTGTATAGTATCTAAGACTAGCCCCATGTATTGACTTGTATTTTACAGTGGACATAGAATTCATAAATAGTACATTTTTATCTAGTAGAAAAGCCCAGAACCACCCACCCAGATTGCTCATAACCCTCTGACTCCAAACATTGTTCTTCTGCAATGCCACTGCTTTGGGTCAGGCCCAGGACAGGTAACCAGTGCTGCATTGAGAAGTAGCCAGAGTACAAATAGGTCACAGCTGCCAAGGAGCCTGGACTATAGTGCTCCACATAGCCACACAGATGGTAGAAATGCCAGCAGGGAAGGAAGAGGGCTGAATGCCTGCTATCCAGAACTCTCTTCCAAACTCCATAGTCAGAAGTAAAAAGGGCCAAGGCAATGATAAGGAATTTCCCAGCCAGCCCGAGTGTTCCAGGACACACACACTTGCAAGGGATTTTTCCCTAGTCTGTAGCCTTGGGGAAATGCAGGCCCAGCTCATCCCCCTTTACCTGTCTATGTCAGGAGATCTCAGGGATTGGATGAGAGCCCAGGGATGAGATTGCTGCTGGCTGGCAGGAGGACAAGGCCTTAGCCCACTTACCTGGATGATGCAAAAGCAGGAGCATGCCATCAGAGGGTCTCTGGGTGTCAGCTTGGTTCCGAGAAGCTGGCTTTCAGCAGAGGCTGTCTGCCTTCTTGCTCAGCAGAGGGCATTTCTCCCTGGCATCATCCAGGTGCAATCTGGCTGGCGTGCTTGCCAGCATAATGAAATGATCACAGCTACCCAAGCACCCAAGGAGAGAGGCTTATTTTGCACGATCAGGCACGATTCATTAGGACAAGGACAAGCTTCTGAGCCACGCCCATGCATGAGGGACTTTCTCTGCTCCCAGCCTAGCTGTGTGTCCAAAGGTACATCAGAGGGCACCAACTTCTCTCTCATTACTTTCTCAAATTTCCATCTCTTGTCTGCAAGCTGGGCCCTCCTTGTCCCTGATCTGCCATTCTGAGTGTCCAAGCTGAGCTACCAGTGTGTAAGGAGGGGTGGGTGGGCACACTGAGACCACAGTGTGGTCTTTTTTGTTGGTGGTGTTGGTCGTGGGGCCTGAACTCTGGGCCTGGACACTGTCCTTGAGCTCTTCAGTTCAAGGCTAGCGCTCTACCACTTGAGTCACAGTGCCACTTCCAGCTTTTTCTGCTTATGTGGTGCTGAGGAATTGAACCCAGGGCCTCATGCATGCAAGGCAAGCACTCTACCAATGAGCCACCTTCCCAGCCCCACAGTGTGGTCTTGACACAGACCCAGAACACCTGATTGGAAAAGGCTAGACATCTTCAGTTTAGCCATTCAGCCCCTGAAAGATGTCAGGGAGACATAGGAGATATTTCCCAAACCACTTGGGTTCTTTAGTCTTCCAAAAACATCACCAGAGGAAGTTGGTGGCTCAGGCCTGTCATCCCAGCTATTCAGGAAGCTGAGGTCTGAGAATCGTGGTTTGAAGCCAGCCTGGGCAGGAAAGGCTGTGAGTCTTTTCTTCAATTAACCACCCAAAAGCCAGAAGTGGAGCTGTGACTCAAGTGGTAGAGGGCTAGCTTTGAGCAGAAAAGCTCAGGGACAGCACCCAAGTCCTGAGTTCAAACCCTAGTGCCAGAGAGAGAGAGAGAGAGAGAGATTAAAGCCCAGAAACTGGCATCCTTGTTTATACTGTGCTTTTTAAACATACACATAAGTAACTTTAGTGTAAGTTTGAATGATGTAGTCCTAGAATTATATATATATATATATATATATGATGCTTCTTTTTATATATACTATACTTATGTTGAAAATAAATCAATCAGCTTAAATTCAATCCATGTGTGGTTGAGGTTATAGATTTCCTTTGATTTTAGACTTACACTACTTATAGCTAATTACAGCCCTTCCTTTTTCTGTTTTACTAACTTGCATGAAATGAGATGAGGCCATTCTATTTCAAAGCTTGAATAAATATCCTCTGTCGCACATACCACTATTATGTAGAGAAGGACAGTTTTACAAGATTGCTGGAAACTGTTGTTGCAGCAGAATAACAGAATAATATGGTCTATCAGGACACTCGTGAAAGTCCAAACCCAATACAGAAATGGCAGGATGAAAAAGCAAGATATAGGCTGGGAAGGTGGCTTAGCAGCAGAGTACTTGCCTAGCATGAATGAAGCCCTGGGTTTGATTCCTCAGTACCATATAAACAGAAAAAGTCAGAAGTGGCACTGTGGCTCAAATAGGAGAGTGCTAGCCTTGAGCAAAAGAAGCTCAGGGATAGTGTCCAGGCCCTGAGTTCAAGCCTCAGGACTGGCAAAAAAAAGAAAAAGCAAGATGTAGCAGGGGCACACAACATTACTTCATGAGATAGAAGCAAAGCTAGCCCTGTGATACATGCAAGGATTCTGTGATATATATTAAGCTTTAAAGACCAAGTTTCAGACCCCAAGGTATCAAATTCATCTTAAGTGATAGCAGAGCCTTTCTATGAACTGCAAGGCTACAGGGGCTACAGCAAACAGCCCCTAAAATTTTAGGAGCATAAACATGAGCTCTTCACTCATACCCATGTCCCCCCAGGATGACCATGGGAATCTGTTCTGAGCAGCAGCCATCTGGAATATTCTCTATGCCCACGGGTAAAGAAAAAGAACATTCTAGAGGCTCTCTCCCACATGACAGGTGTCCCTTCTGCCCCAAACTCACAGGCCAGAACCAGTCACATGGCCCACCCAATCACAACTGATTTAGGCAGTACCATCTGACCCTAGGTCAGAGTGGTTAAAAAAAAACAGGAATATTATGGACAATAGTACCATATGTATATGCATGTATGTATCTATGTGTGTATATGTGTAAATGCATATGTATTATATATTGTATTGGCATGCATCTGTCTTTATAATCAACTAAGTCATTTTCTGTTTCTTCCACCAACAGGAAGGTTGATCCAGTTCCCCAAATGACTACTCCTGAGAAATTATACTCCAAGGTCATAAAGAGTCTGAATTACTTGAATGCCCACCTGCCCAAGGGGAGCCATGTGATTCTGTATGGTTTGCCAGATGGAGCCTTTCTCTGGGATAATCTGCATGACAGATATCATCCTTTAGGTACCAGTGGGTGAAGACTTCCACTCCTTCACAATGTTCATGTTCCTATGTCCAATGTACACATAGTTAAAACCCTATAAGAATGCATCTGAATGAGCATCACAGAACATAGGTCAGAATCAGTGGAGGGATGAGCCCTCTGGTGCAATATCTGAAGGTCATTGTTCAAATCAGATTCAAAGACAGAGGGGACAGAGGCTATTAGTCAAAAATTAGGACAAATCAAAAGGTAAAACTTTAAATCAGGAAACTCAGTTAATAAGTGAAATCGAGAATGAGCAGAAGATGCCCAAACAAGAAACAGAAAGCCCCAATTCAAAGGGAGGAACTGGAAACCTCCTCTGAATGAGTTTCTCAGGGGACCCATTATGGCTCCACACCTTACAGATATACGCTTTTGGCATCCTAGCTCTCAATACCCTTAAATTCCCCCAGAAATTTCTAACTTCTAGCCACAGCGCTAATGCTTCCATGATTGTCCAAACAACATAAACATTGTAGTCACACTAGGAAGGGCTGTTATAACTATCCTTAATCCCTAATTTCATTAGGTAGATGAAAACAGCTAAAACCAGAGAGGTAACATGACTCATCCAAGGTCTCAGCAGTTTCTTGTGTCTATAAGCTGGGTGTAGCAGAGCTCAGCTTCCTTTCAGGGGAAGGATGTCCTTCGAAAACTATTAAGTACTCACACATGCAAGTGCTTTTCTAGATACCAGCTAACCAGCAGAGAGTACAAAAGCTCTGAATCCCTGTCCATATTCCAGTAGAGAAGAAGACACCCAAAGCAAATTAGATGATGAGAAGTGTGTCAGCAGGGGAGCTAAGCAGGGAGACAGACACAGGACCCTGGCCTCAGTCCTCCATTATGAGCATCTACAAGGAGAGGCTGGCCTCCCCTGTGCAGCTCACATTGAGATCACCGGTCAGCTACTGGCAAAGAAAAGGCTGCCCCTTCCTGCTATCGTCATGCCCAACTCCTGAGACCAACCAAGCTTAAATCATGCCAAAGGTCCACACACATCCCTATAGTCAAGGAAGTGATACAAAGGAGGTGGTCCAAAATTCATTCTTTAATGCCCTCCAGAGAGTGGGATAAGAACACGATTTCACAATTAAGACCACCATGAGTTTTTCCTTGCATATATAATGCTTTGTGCAGCTTTTCCATCTCCTTTTGTCCCCTTCCAATAGCCCCTACATAAGTCATCCTTACCTCCTCCTTCAGGAAATCCCATCCTGTTCACACGAGAAAGGAGTGTGTCTCCTTTAACCTGCTCTTAAAGGGATTTCCACTCTTCATTCTAACCTCATACCACTGAGGATGAAGCCATTCTCCTTCAGCTTCCTGAAATGTATCCCAGGTACAGCCATTAAAGCAAAACATTACCCTGCCTCATCTAAGGAGAACAAGCCTTGTGGTTCACAAGACTCTAACAGCGCCTTTGAGAAACAAGTGTGGGTACCCAGGGAAGATTTGCATTCCATTCTAGGGTGCCTTGCCTTTAAAGAACACTTGCCACTTGGGCGGAGACACGTTGTATGAACCCCGAGATGTGTGTAGCTCCCACCCCACTCAACAGATTCCCTCAAAACTGTCTAATTCTCCTGTGCTTGGAAATGGGAGGGAGAGGAAGATGGCGGACAGGTGACATGTGTCCCCAGTTTCCTCCATGGAAACGTGACTTTGACTTTTCTGTTTTCAAATCTCATTCGGTTTCCATACACTCTAGTTAGACATTTTCTCCCTCCCCCGTGTGTGTGTGTGTGTGTGTGTGTGTGTGTGTGTGTGTGTCACACAATCACTTGATTTAATCAGTATAGGTAATAATGACCCCATGAAATTTGTGGGGGAGAAAAAAGTGAAAGGAAGAAAAAACTTGATTAGAGGTCTCTATAAGCCATGGTTCTCAGCCAGCTGTGAGAGGAGGTGCTACTGGCATCTAGTGGAGAGAGCCATTTATTCTATATAAACAGCCTTTAATTTGGGGGCGGGGATGCCAATTAGGGAAAAAGTTGAAGCCATCTAAAATGTGTTTAATACATTTAAGTAATTATTCACATCCCAAATTATCCCTGATGCCTGGTTGCCATGGAAAAATAGGTTATATACTTCTTAAAGAGGTATCAAGGTCCTTTCTAGAAAGAGTAGGGAGGAAGGTAGGCCTCCGGCTTGTGCATTGTCCTTCAATGGGGCTCATCATGCTCATAAGAGGGAGAGAGAGGACGGCTGCCCTCACACTCCCCGCCTCCAGGTTGTCCAATCTCCAGGTTAGCATAGCCCTTATCCCAATCAGTAGCCTGACACTCGAGTCAGACTCCCAGAGCTCTGAGCTCCAAGTTGGGTGGAGCAGAAACAAGTTGGGTGGAGGGGGGAGCGAGGGAGGGAAAAGAGAGAGAGAAAGAGAGAGAGAGAGCGTGTGTGTGTTAGAGTTCTGAATGCTTCTTTATTTGAGCCTAGAAACATGATTATGAGAAACTCCAGTTTTGACTGTAGCTACCACTTAAAGATTAGAAGTCAGGGAGCAGAGGGTCTGGGGACCAAGGAGAGAGGCCCCTGGTCAATGATACATTCTCTACTACCTCCTTCCCCTAAGGTAAAACAACCAAGCATAGCACCCCCCAAAGAAAAGGTGAAGCCACAGCATGAAATCCCCAGAACAAACATGCTCCCATGTCACCCCTACCAGGGAGGAGAGTGTGTTAGTTCCCTTTGTCATCTCTCCTCTGTTTCATAACAGAACCCCAGTTTGAACAAAGAAAGAAGAGGGCAGCCAGCAAAAAAACAAAGGCCAGACAGAAACAGATGTGAGAAGAGGGAGGAGCCTGGGTGAGGAAAAGAGGTGGAAGGTATCAGTCACACAGCTGGGTAGGCAGGCCTGAGACTAGCAGGGTCTCACAGAGGAAGTGGACAAAGTGGAAAAAGCCATAAAGGAAAGAAAGTAGAAGTAAAGCTTCAGTGTGGAGAGCAGGGATTGGGGAATGCAGGAGCTCGGGGCTCTACATTGGCTCACGAAAATGAAGCCAAGGTAGACACCAGTGGTTTGTGATTTGCCTAAAATGTGAAGAAGCAGAAGCTCTTGCAGAAAAGAGACCTGGCGTGTCACTGTGACTTTGAAGCCCATGACTTTTCATCCTAAGATTCTTTCACCCACCTGAGATCAATATATTTTCCTCAATCACAAGCAAATGGAACCTACCTTTTGGTGTAAGCCATCTGAGCTATAAGTGAAAAATCAGACTGTATTCCACCCCCTTCCATCTCCCACTTCACTCTGAGATAGGTCCTATTATCCACTTTGGTGTTTCCCCCCCCCTTAGAGTATAAGAAGTATTAATGGGTGCAGTCACTCACCTGGAGATTGGGGAGGGGGACACTAAAATTGGTATCTCAGCCACAGCATGAAAGTGACCACCTCTGGGGCTAGATAAGCTAGAAGAAGAAAGAAGGGAGCAGAGAATAAATACTGCCCCAGATTCAGACTCTATTGCTGATGCTTAGAGAGGATCTGTATGACCCCCATCTCCCACCCACTGATCAAGGTTCAAGTAAGAGAACCACGGGGCAGCCCCTAGCCCATTGCCATAAAGGGAAACAAAACATGCTGGTTTCCCCATCCTTCCCAAGCATGTTCTCTGGAGGCCTTCACCAGACTGCGGGGAGCACTCCATGGTGAGAACTTCAGATGCTCAGAATGCTCTGCCCGTGCCTCCACATGGGACAGTGGGGCCAGTCAGGCCTGGATATTCTTTAAATTTAAAAAGAAAACTTCAGATCCACTGAATATCCCAGTAAACCCTCAAAAGCTTGGCGTTTCTCGCCATTTCCAGGAGAAAGGCCCGGTTCTGCACTGTGCATGAGCAAGGCACTCTGGTCTAGAAAGAGCACAGGATATTTTTTCCCACTTCCCTGGAGCCAAGAGGAGTCCCATCCTCCAGTCTTTACCCCACCAAGAGCTCTGCAGGGGAGGAAACTCCCTAAGGACCCACCCCTTCTTGGGGCCTGAATTTCTAAGGACACAGAAAGAAGCAAAGCTCAGGCATTCTTCAATGGCAATGCTCAATCATGCGGCTGCTGGGCATCAGGATCACACGTATATGTCACTGAATATTGCTGTGTCTGATTACGTATGACATGCCAGACCCTTTGTGTTTTCCAGGTCAGCTAAATAAAGACGTGACCTATGCACAGTTCTTCTCCTTCCTGAGCTGCCTCCAAGTGAGCCTGTAACCTAATTCTTTATGACCACACACACATACACATGAGATGGGCATGTGCACACGCATGCACACATGTGCATCTACACACATGCCCACGGACACACACGACACACAAGCATGGATACATGCACATGCATGCACACCCAAAACCCCTGACACATGTACATGACACACATTAGCATGGACATATGCACACAGATGGACATGTATATGTTTGTGTGCACATACATGATTGTGAATACATACATATGCACAACAAATACATTCATGTGTATACCTACATGCACACACACAAATACACATGCACACATACACACACACACTCGTTACCCAGGTCTATTTCTATCTAATCAAAATGATGTGTTTCTACTCTCAGGTTACCCCCTGTCATGGCTGGATGACTTCCAACAAGACCCTCCGGACTCTTACTTCAGAGGTAGGACACCACACCTATCCATACCATTTTTGATCCCCTATGTTTGAGACTGCTTCCCTATTCTGATAGTCTGGTGCAAGATGACCACCAAGCTGGTGAACAATGAAATCAATCTTCCAAGGAGTGGGAGGAGCCAAGAGAGCATCAGTGCACTGTGACTGCTGGGAGGTCTCCAGGCTGTCCTCTCTCTCTCTCTCACTCTCTCTCTCTCTCTCACTCTCTCTCTCTCTCTCACTCTCTCTCTCTCTCGCTCCCTCTTTCTCTCTCTCTCTCTCCACACACACATACACACACACACACACACACACACACACACACACACACACACAGCTGTTTCAACAGCTCCTGGGTGTGGGTGAGGAGATGGAGGGGTGAGTAAGGTCAGCCCTATACAACTGATGTTCTCTAGAGGTCAAAAAGGAATCTTTAGAGCCAGGTACCAGTGGCTCATGACTGTCATCCTAGCTACTCAGGAGGCTGAGGTCTGAGGATCATGGTTCAATGCTAGCCTGTGCAGGGAGGTCTATGAGACTCTTATCTACAATTAACAAGCAAAAAAAAACCCCAAACAAACAAAAACAAAAACCAATTGAAAGTGTAGACATAGCTCCAGGGTAGAATACCAGCTTTGAGCAAAAAAGCCAAGTGAGAAGATGAAGCCCTAAGTTCACCCTAGTACCAATACAAAAACAAACAGCACTGTGATGAGTGGTGGTAGACATAAAGATGAGCTTTGTGTGTGCATTTCTATCCCTTAAGACTACTTCCTGTAAAAATTGTTGGGTCAAAGGGTATGGCCATGTTTAAGGATTCAGTCTTTGTTGCCAAATTGCAATTGAGAGAGGCGAAACTAATCTACATTCTTATTCACCTGCCCCCAACGGCATTCAGTATTATCAGGGTTCTTCATTTCATCATTGCCAGTCCCATGGGAAATGGAAGGTCTTATTATTTTAATCAGCACTGATTTGATTCCTAATGAACAGTCACATTTTTCATACGTTCGTTGGTCTTTTGCACACGAATAGAATTTAATGGGCTGCGCTGTTCTCTCTTGATTACTTGGAGAAAGGAAGATAGAGAGAGAGGTCTGGGGAAGATCGATTTCTTTGTTCTGCCTGAATTGTCTCACAAAAGTCAAAGTCTCACAGAATTCTCTTTCTCTTATACTCAGAGAGCAGAAGAACTGTCCAATACCCTGAAAAAAATTACAACCAGTGAGAAATTTACAAACTTCGATCTTTTCTACCTGGATTTTGCCTTCCAAGAAAGTAAGTTGCTTGGTTTTAAATATTAACAGAGGAAAGACACAGCAGATACAGTGGAGAACACCAGGGCAATCTGTTATAAAACAGTGAGCAGCAGGATTAATCCTGCCTATCCTGACACCAAGAGCTCTCAATATTGGGGCGGGGGTGGGGGAGGGAAGGTAAAGAGTAAGTGAGGATCTGAGGAAATTTGCTTCCTTTAATTCATCATCATTTTAGCATCTGTGAAGCCCTGGGGATATAGCTCAGTCATAGAGCTCCTGCTTAGCATCCCAAGGTCCTATATTTGATCCCCAGCACTGCATAAAAAGAAAAGGAAAAGAAATAGTGGGGGCTAGGAATGTGGCTTAGTGGTAGAGCGCTTGCCTAGCATGCATGAAGCCCTGGTTTGATTCCTCAGTACCACATACACAGAAAAAGCCAGAAGTGGCACTGTGGCTCAAGAGATAGAATACTAGCCTTGAGCAAAAGAAGCTCAGGGATAGTGTCCAGGCCCTGAGTTCAAGCCCCAGAACTGATAAAAAGAAAAATGAAAGAAAGAAGTATCAGAATCTTTGAAGCAATAGAGCCACTGACTATTTGGACAGAACTTTGGATAGGTAGCCTTGAGACTAATAGAATCAAGCCAGCTTGTTCTGTTCAGGTTTGGCAATGTCTTGCTTACCTATAGCTAAAGATGGGGTAAAAATATTGAGAGGTAAAATATTGAAGGGGTGATGAGATAGGGCACTGGAATAGCCAGGAATAGACTGGAATAGATTCCATATTGCATAAAGCTGTAGGATCCAATGAGAATCTCTCTAAAGGAAGGTCCCATTGATTTGGCTGTGGTGAGCTGTGGTGTGGCTCAGTCACACAATAGCTACCCAGCAAGCTTGTGGCTTGAGCTTATATCTCATACCGTTAAAAAAAGAACTCATCCGTGGCAAAGCACTCAACTTATGTCCCATCTTTCTGGAAAGAACATTAGGTTTCTCTGTAGCATGACTGGAGCTATTGATTTATCCTTTGCATTTGGACTCTGAGAAAATAGTATTTATTAATTATAATCCATCCAGATTCATTTTCACTGCTAAGCAATTTTCCTATAAGAGAACCCCTTCCTTACCCCCAGTTGATGGACTGCCAGCTGAGATGGTGCTAATGAAAAGCTTTTCAGGGTTTGCAAAGAATGGGAGGCTTCTCGCCCAGAATTTATCATTCTATCCCCTTCCGTCCCTCTTCCTTCCTCGCCTCTAGCCCAAGCATCTGGGAAGGAGCAGACGGCCATCATGAATTATTAGTCATTACATTAACTGACACGTTGTGCATTGCAGACTCAATTCTGAACGTCTTTTCAACAAGTCTCATCCCCTTTAACTAGATTTCTTGCCTGCATGATACATATCTCTCTCATGGGGAGAGACATTTTGATAAACTACTTCTCATTAAAAGGCAGACTTAAAAGCTCATTAACAAATTCTTTTGTGTAAACACACGCATCACCACATAGCCTGTGCTCCTCAACAACCTGGAACATAGATAACGCTATAAGACATATAATAATGCCTAACATTCACATGGGACTGTGTGATCTCTACCGCTGACATTTATTACCACTCAGACTGTCGGCCATTCTCTGAGCATGCCTAACCTTCCTTCTCCCCCCTACCCCAGCTCCCCCCTGCCTTCTCCAGACCATCATATCTATGTGGTGATGATGAGGTGGATGAATTTGCCATCCTCATAAATGCCTAGGACAAGTACCAGACTGTTGCACACTTGCTTCTCCAAGCATGTTCTAGAGAAGAAAAACCAACATCATGCTGGATTACAAATGCAGAGTCTCAGGCCCCACTCCATGTCTAATCCAAATCTGTGTTCAAACACAATCCCCAGGTAATCTAATGCTACAAAATTAAGAATTTGGTCACTGTCAGATAGGCATATGCATGCCAAGCCTGGGGCTTGAACTCAGGGCTTAAGTGTTGTCCTGAGCTGCTTTTGCTCAAGGCTAGGGCTCTACCACTAGAGTCACAGCTCTGTAGCTAGGATTACAGGCTAAGCCACCAGTGCCTGGGCATGTCAGGCACAACACTGTGCCAAGTGTTGTTCAGGTATTTGAAATCTAATTTTTAATCAAACAGAACTATCTCCATAGACAGTTAGAGCAGAGAGTTTTATCCTTGGCCTATCCCACTTCATTGGCAAACCAGCATGTTTCCAAGCAAAGCCTGGTCGGCTCCGTCCTGTCCTCCAGCAACAATAAACATAGCACCAAAGCAATGATCTCTGTTCATCTGAGCAAAACATGCACACCCACTTGGTAGCAACTGCTCAGGCATTCCACAGGCTCCAAAAGTCCATCAACAGTCTTTGTTTTGTAATCTTCCACCATTTATTAAAAATAAAATCCTGAAGCCGGATGCCGATGGCTCACACCTATAATCCTAGATACTCAGGAGGCTGAGATCTGAGGATCGTGGTTCAAAGCCAGCCTGGACATGATAGTCCGTGAGACTCTTTTCTCCAATAAACCATTCAGAAAACTGGAAGTGATGCTGTGGTTCAAGTGATAGAGTGCTAGCCTTGAGCTGAAAAAACTGAGGGACAGCGCCCAGGCCCAGAGTTCAAGCCCCACAACCAACAAAAAAAAAAAAAGAAAATTTTTTTTTAAATCCTGAGCTGAACACCAGTAGTTCATACCAGTAATCCTAGCTACTCATGAGACTGAGAACTTAGGGTCATGGTTTGAAGCCAGCCTGGCAGGAAAGTCTATGGGACTCTTATCTCCAGTGAACTGACAAAAATGTAAAAGTAATATGGCTCAAGTGGTTAGGCACTAGCCTTGAGTAGAAAAAACAAAACAAAACAAAAAAAGCAAGCAAGATCATAAGGCCTTAAGTTCAAACCCCTGTGCTGGGAGAAAAATAATAATTTTAGTGTCTAATTTTGGCTCAGAACCTTTATCATCTTCTCTGTTTGAAGTTAGTGGCACACTACAAGGACACACAATGGACACAGTGGTAGGACAGCAAAGACAGAAGAACAGCACCCCAGGACCTGCCTACAGGCTGCTGTGATACAGAAGCCTTCATTTAGGAGCTATGAACCACCATGGCTACTTGTGAAAGTGTTGCATTCTTTAATCTAGTTTTCAAAAACTATGGTGATATCTTGACTCAGGACCAAGTTAAGATTTTTTTTTGTCATGGGACTTGAACTCAAGGCCCAGGAGCTGTCCCTGAGTTCTTTTGCTCAAGGCTAACACTCTACTACTTTTGAGCCATAGTTCCATTTCTGGTTTTGTAATAGTTAATTTGAAAAAAGAGTCTCACAGACTTTCCTGCCTGGGCTTCACTTTGAACCACAATCCTCAGTTCTCAGCCTCCTGTGTAGCTAGGATTACAGGCATGAGCCACCTGCAGCCAGCAAGTTAAGAAAATTTAAAAGCTTTAGCATTTATCAGAGTAGGCAGAGAGGTCATGGACCCCTGAGACCCTCTTTGGAAGTAACTACTCATGATTGAAGTTCATCGTCTTAGAAACCAGGACCACACATCCTGGAAAGCACTCCATGTTGGTGAAATGTACTGGAATAGAAAGAAGCCAGAGCTTGTCGCTGTCTACTTTTCCCAATTCAGACACGAACAGCTATGTATCCTGGAGGAGATTAACCACTCAGTCTTTGTTTCTTTTTATGTAAGTATGATACCTCAACCACAGGCTTTATGCAAAGATTCAGTGAGACAGAACTTGCAAAGTCATAAGGACTTGGCAGCTGGATGGATGACCTGATCAATGATGTTTCTCAATCAACTTCTGTGCTCTTCCACATAGTAAAAGTCTCTTCCCTTTCAAGGTCCAACCCAGCTTCTATCACCATTCATGCCTAAGGATTTCTTTGTGTTTCTTCAAGGAAGATATGATAGAGACCCAGCTCATCATCTCTTTGGTCCAATTGAGTCACTTGGGAAGGCTGCAGTGTTCTTCGCAGTTCTGTAACTGTCCCTCTTCTCACCTCAGCACTACACGGAAGCTGACTTTGGCAGGAGAAATGGCCTCATTTTTCACGGCACTGAAATTCACATCATCGTGATAGAGTGAATTGCAGCTGAGGGGCCCTGACACTTCAGGGGAGTTACCAACCTATTTGTCCCCAGTCCACAGCCCCATCCAGTGCTGAAAGTGGATAGCACATCCCCACAGAATTTTTGGTCTTTTGCTGACTCACTCTTCAACTGTTGATGAACTAAGCAGAGACAGCAATTTTTCCTCCCTTCAGGAAATGTCAACTTAATCAGGTGATGTCCTTTCTCACAGTTGGTACCCCTACCTCCTTGACAGAGGAAGGAAATGTCACTTGGCTGACAAAGTCATTTTTACACTGACAGTTTAAATATACCTCCAGCTGCCCTCAGCTTCCAGGACAACTCAATTGAAAAACCATAATTTTCCATCCCCTTACCCCATATATTTTTGCCAGTGACTTCATGGTATACACTAGAGTGAAGATGTCTCTCTAAAATGCCTGGTGGTACATGTTTGCTGTCATATGTGGAAGTTAGATCTAAATTATGAAAATATATAAAGGGTCATACGCAGATACACACGAATAGACTATAGTAGACACAAGGGAGAATTTGGAGGGTGCAACACCTTTGAACAATTAACTGATAGTTTAACAAAATAAATACTAAGAAGCTGTAACATATTCTGTCTGAGGTGGGTGGAGCTTAAGGCAATGGAGGTGGATGAATGGAGACAGGAATGGTGGGTAAATAGTCAATGTGAAAACAGAACCAGGTCACTTAAAGGAATGGGTGAGAGCCAGGCACTGGTGATCATGCCTGTAGTCCTCGTTACTCAGGAAGAGGAGATCTGAGGATTGTGGTTTGAAGCCAGTCAGGGCAGGAAAGTCTATAAGCTTCTTTATCTCCACTAAACTATCCAAGAACAGCTGGAAGTGGAGCTACCGCTCAAGTGGTAGAGCACTAGCTTTGAGCAAAAGAAGATCAGAGACAG